TGACCTTTTACATTGTCTATTTCTTTTGTGAGGTTTGGTAGAGTTTGTGTCTTTCAGTAATGGTTTTGCTGTATCCTGCCAATTATGAGAAGTTGGGTTTTCATTTTCAGTCCGTTCAAAATATTTTTAAATTCCTCTTGAGATTTCCTCTTGACCTATGTGTTATTTAGCAGTGTGTTATTTAATTTCCAAGCATTTGAGGATTTTCCAAACATATTTCTGTTATTGATTTCTAATTTAATTCCACTATAGTCTGAAAGCAGGCATTGTATGATTTTTTTGTTGTTGTTCTTTTAAATCCGTTAGGGTGTGTTTTATGGCTCAGAATGTTGTCTGTCTTGGTAAATGTTCCATGTGAGCTCGAAAGTAGGTGTATTCTGCTGCTGTTGGATGGAGTAATTGCTAGATATAGTAGTCAATTATATTCAGTCGGTTGGTGGTGCTGTTGACTTTAACCATGTCCTTACTGATTTTCTGCCTTCTCGATCTATCCATTTCTGATAGCAGAGTATTGACATCTCCAACTGTAACAGTGGATTCATCTATTTCTCCTTGCAGTTCTGTTTTTTCCTCACATATTTCGATACTCTGCTTCTAGGTGCATGCACATTAAAGATTTAATGTCTTCTTTGAGAATTGATCCCTTTATCATTATGTAATGCCTTTTGCTATCCCTGTCAACTTACCTTGTGAAGTCTGCTCTGTCTGAAATTAATATAGCCACTTCTGCCTTCTTTTTGTCAGTGTTAGCACAGTATATCTTTCTCCATGCCTTTAATTTTAACCTAAATATGTCTTACATTTAAAGTATATTTCTTGTGGATTATTTACCTCAAAACCACAATGAGATACCACCTCACACCTGTCAGAGTGACTAACATTAACAACTCAGGCAACAACAGATGTTGGCGAGGATGCGGAGGAAAAGGATCCCTTTTGCACTGCTGGTGGGAATGCAAACTGGTGCAGCCGCTCTGGAAAACAGTATGGAGGTTCCTCAAAAAATTAAAAATAGAATTACCCTACGACCCAGTAACTGCACTACTAGGTATTTATCCGAATGATACAGGTTTGCTGTTTCGAAGGGGCACATGCACCCCAATGTTTATAGCAGCACTATCAACAGTAGCCAAAGTATGGAAAGAGCCTAAATGTCCATCGACAGATGAATAGATAAAGAAGATGTGGTGCGCGCGCACACACACACACACACACACACACACTGGAGTATTACTCGGCAATCAAAAAGAATGAAATCTTGCCATTTGCAACTACGTGGATCGAACTAGAGGGTATTATGCTAAATGAAATTAGAGAAAGACAAATATCATATGGCTTCACTCATATATATAGAAAACAGGGTTACTGGAGGGGTTGTGGGAGGGGGGATGGGCTAAATTGGTAAGGGGCATTAAGGAATCTACTCCTGAAATCATTGTTCCAACATATGCTAACTAACTTGGATGTAAATTAAAAAATAATATATAAAATTAAAAAAAATTAACCTCAAAAAGAACAAAAAAAAAGTATATTTCTTGTAGATTAAATATAATTGGGTCCTGTTTTTTGATCCACTCTAAAAATCTCAATTGGCATACAGTTGACCATTGAACAGCACAGGTTTAAACTGTGTGGGTCCACTTATATGTGGGATTTTTACAGTACTGTAAATGTATTTTCCTTATTATTTTCTTACTAGCATTTTTTTCCTCAAGCTTTGTTGAAAGAATATAGTATATAATACAAAATATGAGTTCATCGACTGTTTATGTTTCCATAAGGCTTCCAGTCAACAGTAGGCTATTAGATGTTAAGTTTTGAGGGAGTCAAAAGTTATACTTGGCTTTTTTACTATGCAGGGGGGTCAATACCCCTAACTCCTGTGTTATTCAAGGGTCAAGTATATTTAGACCATTGACATTTAAAGTGATTATTGACATAATTGGATTAATAGCTACCATTTTTGCTGTTGTTTTCCATTTGATGCCCTTGTTCTTCCTATTTTTATTCTCTTTTTTTCCTGCTTTCTGTAATTAATTGAATATTTCATATGGTTCCATTTTCTCTTTGTTGTTAACATATCAATAATTTTTCCTTTTTTAATTATCTTTGTGGTTGCCTAGAGTTTGCAATATACATTTACAACTAATCCAAATCCACTTTCAAATAATACTCTTAATGCTCCAGAGGTAATGCATGTACATTATAATAACAAAATAATCATAATTTCTCCCCTCCATGTATCATTGCTATGGTTCATTTCCCTTACATGTAAGCACACATATTTATATACATACGATGTACATCAGCATATGTAATTGGTTATATTGTTGCCATTATTTTGAGGAAATGTTATTTCTTAGATGAAGACTGAGGGAAATACAAGTTTTTATTTTACCATCACTTGTTCCTTCTCCGATGGTCTTTCTTTACACAGATCTGAATTTCTGACCGATGTTGTTTTCCTTCTTCCTGAAGAACTTCTTTTAACATTCCTCACAAGACCAGTCTGCTGACAATGAATTCCCTCAGTTTTTATTTGTCTGAAAGTAGTCTTTCTTTCTCCTTCACTTTTGAAGAATAACTTCATGGATACGGAATTCTATGTTGGTGGTTTTTTTTTTTTTTTTTTTTT